AGTCTATGGTTGGCTCACTGGCAACATTAGAGCCAATAGACCCAGGAAACAACGCAGAAGGATACAGCGACCTAGGGTCCCAACAGTGGACGTAACCTCAGGAGAGTCAGCCTCTGATTCAGATACCAGAAACATCACGGAAACTTCAAAAGCACTTTTTTTAGCCACAGACGAAGCAGGCACAATAACCAGGAGCCGGTTCAGGGTCGACGTAGACCAAGAACGAGGCGAGGCCGTAAAGGAAAGAACACCTGTACAGGGGAAACCCCCACGCAGGAGGTAATCCCTATATTCAATCTCTCTCAAAGGCCCCTTGATACAACTGAGATAGAACTCCTTAGTAAAGGCCTTTCATTTGTGCCTACATCTAAGGCTGATGTTTTCAAGTGGAAGATTGAACTGCATAAGTTCGGGCGAACTATGAGATTGAAAGAATTTTTCTCAAATACAGTGGAATGTAATACAGCGGATACAGATGTTTTTCGGGCTAAATCCACTTTTGATCCTATATCTAATAGGGCGTCCATTAAGACTTTTCTCTCCATGACCAATAAAGAAGTTCAAACCCTTATGCAACGCGAGTGTAAAGTGAAACACAACATCACAAAACAACAAAGGAAAATTATAAAGGGATTAGCAACAGATCCATCAATAGTCATCCGTTCGGCTGACAAGGGAGGTGGAATCGTCATTATGGACTACATGAACTATGCTAAAGATCTGAATGTGCAACTATCAGATAGAACCACCTATATATTGTTAGATGGAGATCCCACTATCAATATTCAGAATAAAATTGAAGATGTTTTATCAATGGGCCTGAGATAGGGCTATATTGACTCCAAATTACATCATTATCTTATTAAAACATGCCCCCGCACGCCTATCATATATTCGATTCCAAAAATCCATAAAAATCCAAAATCACCGCCAGGACGCCCTATAGTGTCAGCCATTGATGGCGTTTTAGAGCCTATTGCAAAATGGCTTGATTATTTGTTCCAAGGTCCAGTTGGAGAACTGTCTACCTGTATTAAAGATTCTCAAACTCTCATCACCAAAATCAATGAATTATCTTATGGTAATTATAGACCAGTCCTAATAACAATGGATGTACATAGTCTATACACAGTGATACCACATGATGCTGGGGTAGAAGCTATGCGGCAAGTCTTGATTCAATCTCCTGTCTACCATGCCCCCCCTATAGAATATGTTTTGGAACTACTTTCTTTAACTCTACAGAATAATTATTTTCGTTTTGAAAATAACTGGTATCTACAAGTGGCTGGCACATCAATGGGCGCATCTATGGCGCCGATGTATGCTAATGCATACATGTATGTGTATGAGAAGGAACATATATTGTAGAGGTACCAAAGTAATATAATAGCGTACTACAGATTTATTGACGACCTGTTCATCATATGGAGTGGAACTTGTGAATCAGCCCACGAAATGGTTCAAGATCTTAATCTCTTACCAACCCCAGTAAGATTCACGGCGGATATTAGCACAGAGAAGGTGCATTATTTGGATTTGGAAATTTCACTGGGAGCAACACATTTTCAATATTCCCTCTATACAAAACCTACAGATAGGAATACACTCCTTCACTATCAGAGTGCACACCCCAGGGCTCTGAAGAACTCACTACCAAAGGCTCAATTCCTAAGAGTAATCAGGAACAATTCGGAAGCAGCTATTAGGGATGTCCAGATTCTTGAAATGAAAAATAAATTTCTTCAAAGAGGCTATGACGAATTTATGTTGGAAACAGCGCTACAAGAAGCATTGAATGCACGCGCCATTGAAACAAAGAAGAAACCTCTTAATTTGGTCTTCCCTATGGTATACAACCAGTCTACCTCTCAAGTGGCATCGGTCATTAGGAAGAATTGGAGGATTGTGTCGAGTGATGACACGCTCCCGAAAGTGTTTAAAGAAAAGCCATTAATTTGTTATAAGAGAAATAGAAACCTAAAAGATATGCTAGTACATACGGATCCCTCCCAAAGCTATTTGAATATAGCGAAGGAACAAATAAGAGGATCTGTTCGCTGCCTTGGCTGTGTGACTTGTAGCCACATGACACCTGCAAGAACTTTTTTTCACCCTCACAATAATAGAAAATATACTATTCGATATACTATTACTTGCAAGACGACACATGTAATATACAAACTGTCTTGTCCGTGTGGCTTATGTTACATTGGGAAAACGGAGACGGCCATCTGCGAACGAATCAGGGGACATAGATCTTCTATTAGACTGGCATATCGGGATGGTTCTACAGATAAACCGGTTGCAAAACACTTCCTTGAACTAAAGCACTCATTGGCTACATTGAAATTTGTGGCTATAGACCACATCCCTAACCCTAGAAGAGGGGGTGATAGGGGGAGGATGCTACTTAACAGAGAAGCCTATTGGATCCATGAGTTGGACACTGTGTCTCCAAAAGGATTAAATGAAGCATTGTCGCTACATTCTTTTTTGGCCTGAATGCCCCTCAATGTTCTTTTTTATGTGTGATTTTATATTTGTGTGTATTTTAGGTTTTTCTATGTGCATTTTTCATGACTATCCTGCGACCGCCCGCTTATTATATAATTAATCATTTATGTTTTGCAAGCATTAATAGTTATTGCTTTGAAATGTGTTCAACAGTCTTTGATGCAGAACACAATAGTGCTGTCGCAACAATTGTTTGAACATACATTTTTGTTGAGTGTCAGAGGAGCAGAAACAAGAAAGAGAAAATAAGTTTTAAAAAAGTCATGTAAAAAAGCCTTATATAACCATATGTATATACTTTTTTTGATTAATTAATCTATTAACATTAATCTCTAATCATTGGGGTTATTTAATATAAACATTCATATTAATTATAGTGGGTCACAACATGTTCACATTTGCACTGTGGCACTTTAAATATTATGCACCTATATGGCACTTTAAGAGATAATTTTGATGCACTTTAAAAGACCCCTTTGCACTTTATTAATATACATAGATCACATTCACATTTGGCTTAACCATATTTGGTATGTCAATGTTCCATAGTAGCCTAGTTGTTCACAACTAGGTTATCATTTTTTGATAAGCTTGTTTCCATATTGATGTGTTTTCTCATTCACAGCCGCGTTACTATGGTAACGACGGCGGCGCACACATGATGTCACATTGGGGGCGGAACCTCTCCGCATCACTGCACAGCCCCGGTTCAGATGCCGGCTTCAATATAGTATACGCTGGCTGCGTCACTATAGCAACGGCGTCGTCACACGTTACGCCGGGGGGAGGGGCTACTCGGCACATGCGCACATTCCCGACCGGGACGCCGGTTGTCTTATGGCACCTGTGGTGAGTTATTGTAATTTACTGCATCCTATATATGGTTGAATTGTTATGTTATGTTTCTATGATCCTGATGAAAGTCCTTGAATAGGACTGAAACGTCGATTTTTTTTTAGGAGTACACAATAAAAGCTATGTTTTAAGAATCCGTGAGTGCAACCTTTGATTCAGCTATTTATATATATATATATATATATATATATATATATATATATATATCAAGTAAACAATTTAAAGGGTTCGTAAAGGATACATAAATCTATACAACATACTTTCAATCTTTCCACTTTCAATACCCCCCCTTCTCCATTTACCTAAATCCTCCCACCCCCCCTGCCTGATATTCTGTGATCAGAAACAACAAAGAGAAAAAAAAAATGTCTCTACATCTCCTCTTCTCCTTCCCCATGCCAAGGCAACTTTATGAGTAGCCACTTCTGCTGTAAATTTTAAATTTAAGAACAACGCAGTCAGGAACTCATTTTGCATTCACCTTAAATTCACTCGTTAGCAAATAACTCGGTTAATGTCAGCCTAATATTTCATGATATAACAAAGTGGTAAAGAACGATGTTTCTGTGCAGGATTGTTTTGAGGTCTCCAATTTTATTTCATGTATTCATTGTATTCTCGTTTACATTTTTGCTGAGGGTAATGTATGAAGGTATGTGATCTACTCTATACATAATGAAGAAGCTAAATATAGCATACGTATATTAACTTCTACTGAACATCTAGGCAGTAAGCAATGAGAAAAGTTTCCCTAATCTTTCATATACATCTTCTTACTTGGAATGGAAAACTGATGTGACAGGAATCCCAAATGGACCCCACTGCCATTTTAGGACTTTTATCTTTCTAAGAACACATGAGATGAAAGCATAAACAGACACAATTGTATTTCTCGTAAATAAATTATCACCATTTTTATCAATAGGAAATAAAATTATGGAATATTAAAGAGTAGAAAAACGGAGCAAAAGTGTATTGATAGAGGGAAATGCTAAGAATGTATTCTTTATTCTTGCAATAACAGATAGTAATGCATTATTTAAAAAAATGGAAAATGAGTATGATTATCTTTCACACGATCTATAAAATGTAAACCATTGTTTATTGAACACACAAAAACATTTAAATATCTTAAAATAACACTGCAGGAACCACAATGGATTAGAGATCGCTATTAAGAGCAAATGTTTGCAATAAACATTATTTGAAAAGTTGTTTAAAACCCGATACATAGATATTATTAAAGCTAATTATTAGAAAAAAATAGACTAAACATTGTAGGAGTGATTTTTGTAAATAAAGGCTTCCATGGCTTCCAAGTTCTAACTGTAAGTTTATACAATCTTCAGTGGACAGTAACATTTGAGCTCACAAAGCTAAAAATATATTTTGTGTGCTATTTGTAGAAGTGTGAGAGGATATTGTATCTGGATTCATGGTGGTTATTTACAAAGAAATATATGATTATCAAGGGATATATCCACTAATATATTGTGGATAGTCTTTGCACAATAATTCTTAAATATCAAACTGTGATCAATTGAGAATCCTATTTGAATGCACTTTATCATCTTAAACACATTTTGTTTAAAGATAAAAGCTCACATCTACTATCATTGGTAAAAATGTTACAGACTGCATGGCTTACGGGCATGAATGCAGTACACGCCTTCGAAATCGGAGATGTCTAACCTAGATTTATCCTCACGTTCTTTCACTTCTAATTTCACAATTTCATAACCAGCTTCTGTAAAGGCCTTCTCAATTTCTTCCTTTGTTATTGTCAAGCCATAAAACTTTTTCCCCCCAACATAATAAAATGTACCATTTAGCGCACTCTGAAGTATGATATGGCCTCCTGGTTTGAGCAAGTCCATAAAGTTTTTCAGGGTGTTACAATAGGTAGCCACATCCTTACATGCAGTCTCTAAGCAGAGACAACTTATTAGACAATCAGCTGATGGCAGAACAAGTGGCTCAAATGGATTCTTCTTCAGTACGTCACATTTCAAAACTTGCTTCACATTTTTGCGGAGTTTTTCTTCCTTATCCACCAAATTAGCACTGTAGAATAGAAATATTAAATTATGGAACTGCTCTGATTTCAATGTAAATTCTATTACTGATCTACAGATAACATAGAAAAAAACCATCATAATTTGTATTAATAATCTTTACACGGTAAGACATATAAATGCCCATCTGATTTGATCACAAAACTGGATTTGAGGTGGCACAATTCACTAATAGTTGCATGATGGGTAATGTAGTTGTGAACGATAATCCGGAAGTGGCGTGACGGAGTAAGAACAGGCGTCACTTCTGGTTTTCCGATCAATCAGAAAGAAAGGATTCTGGACACCTAGCAAGTTAGAAACAGCTGATGCCGAATATCTATTGGTGAATCAAGAGAGAAGGAGGAGCTCTCAAGCCCTTTAAACTGGAACCGGGAAAACCTTTGTCCATACCAACTGAAAAAGCCCCATCGGCGAAACGCGTCTTGGACTTCATTCAGAAAATACGGACTTATTGCTTTTGTTTTATTTGGTTTTGATATATGTTTATATTTTATCTACTTTTAAAATATTTTGGGAAATAAATCCAGTTTATACCAGCAATGTCCTTCTTCCATTTATATCCTTGTTCCTGCAGGGAAGTGTCACCCTAGAATTTGACACTAAGTGAAAATTTTGGAGCCAGTTATTTAACAGGCTTAAAGGAAGGTGAGCAAAAACCTGTATTAAGCATATACTTACCTGTTAAAAACAAGTTACACCTAGATTGCTCTCTTTTGTGTTTCTATCTTCATATATCCATTGTGGAGGAGTATTCTGAAGCCTTCACGCATTATAGAAGAAGGTATTTGGTGCCACCAAAAAGGCCCAGACGTCCCCAGTGGGAGCTCCACATTTTCATTTCTAGTTCTCCCAAAGCTTGAAACCACCTAAACAGTGACTACACCTGTATGCTACAAGAATCTGGTGAGAAAAGGGTTGGCCTAGATGCATTGCCATCACATTACATCTGGTTCATAATCTTATTTTTCCTAATTCTCTATATATTACTTGTTTGTGTTTTAATTATGCTTCTAAAGTTCAGAGGGGGGAGACAATTGTTAAAAAACACAAGACCTGTTGACACTATAAAGATGCAGAGATAAGATAACAGTGTCTCAATCATTTCCAGATATGATGACCTCTATGTATTGAGCTAAATTACCTCAAGCCCCAGTACCTTGTTGGGCTATTTTTTATTATCTGAGATCTGTGTGTCATTGGTTTGTTTTTATGCCAAGAGATCTGTGCATCTCATAACCCTGACATAACTGCATGCTGTTTAGGGGACCCGCGTGTTTCTGCACGTTATGACTTTCATTATTACCTATGAAAACTTTTCTATTAATAAACAGATATTTACAAAAAATAAATTGTGATAAAGTACTCACATTGCCATTTATTCACTAAATGTCATAGTATAGAGAATTGAAATACATTATAAAAATAAAGGCTAAAATATCGATGGTGTATTTTTAATTTGACTTCTGTGGCTGGGTTGGATATTTTTTTTTAAGTCAACACTTTTTTGACTAAACTTTGCAATTTGTTTTTTTAATTTGCAATGCTCCTATGTTTATTGAATTAATCTCATTATGCTTGGAAGGGAAGAACATTTTTCTAAAACAGAATATTTTATTAAAAATATATTGTCCGTGGTTATGTTTGCATATCATTTGAGAGGTGTTCAATCACAATTTAACTTAGCATTTTTCCTTGTGGTTTTTTGGCTCAACACTCATATGTGCACCATAAACTTGTTACCTCCTAGCATTACTATAAAACTGCATTCTTTAGTTCCTTATTAAATCTTCATTATTGGATAGATCGTACCTTTTCCCTTCTAGATCACAAACAAATTTTACACATGGAGTCCAGTCCAACATATTAGAGTCCTTCGTCAGCCATTTCTTTAGTTCGGTGAGATTTTGCTCCAGGAAGTCAGAAGTGATAATGTTGGTAAAGACTTCACAAGCTGACAGCAGGTCATAGATTGATGGTCCAGCACCGACATCAATTAGTGTGTCTCCTTTAACATCTCCTTTTAAGATAAAGTATATATTTAGATATATAAAATGACAATTCTGCAGAAAAATTTCAAGAAATAAATATATTTTTTTTGTTTAATCATGACCATGAATATTTTTTTAATCAGTATGTGTGTTGTTGATCCCAGGAGAAGTCTTGTTTCCATTATGCAGTCAAGAAGGAATAATTTCCCCATTTTGGCATAATTGGCTATCACTTCAAATTGGGTAATTTGACTTCTTTTGGATCCACAGGATAAAAATATATGTTTTAAAGTTTAAATACATTGAATGTTTCTCTGTTAAATATCTGCTATTCATTCCACTAAACATTTTTTTTTTTATTTTAAAGATGTTCTATTTCCATTTTTCCATAATTACCCTACATAAATATTTGACAATACTGGACTTAAAGGGTAACTATAAGAAATTAAAACAACATATCCTTGTTTTTGGTTTGCCCAGCTCTCGAGAATTCAAAATATATAAAAATCGAGGGCATCTGGGCTAAAACATCCGATATAAGTAGATGTGTTTGACTGTTTTATGTCACAGGGTCAACTGATGTTTAGTTTGCTGTTAAATTATTATTTTTGCTTATTATTTTTCCCAACTTTTCCAAAAGTTCAATTGTGTTCCCTGGTTTGGGCTACACTTGGTGTGCAAGAATGGTGACTCTAAGCAAAACTACGTTTCAACAATGTATACTTCTTGCATCATGTGGACAGTCTTCTAAATCTCTGGTTCCCAACTCAGTCATCAAGGTACGCCAAGTGTCCAAATTTCATCGGTATCCCCATTGGATCAGACTTGGGAAACGCCCAAGTCCAAGACTGTTAGCATGCCTTAAAGAAAAACTCCAGTGCCAGGAAAACAATCCATTTTCCTGGCACTGCAGGTACCCTCTCCCTCCCACCTCTCATCCCAGGTAGCTGAAGGGGTGACCCCGCCGATGTCCCTTGTCGGTGGTTTTGGGTCAGCGTCGCTCCTCCCAGTAATCACGTCAGCTGGTGGGCAAGACTGAGGAAACCTAATGCGCATGTGCGTCAATGCTGTGCACGCGTATTAGGTCTTCCCATAGGAAAGCATTGAAAAAGATTTTCAATGCTTTCCGATGGGGAATTGAGCGACGCTGGAGGTCTTCACACAGCGTGAGGACATCCAGCGACGCTCTAGCAAAGAAAATCTTTGTTATGAATCAGGAAGTGCCCTCTAGTGGCTGTCTAGTAGACAGCCACTAGAGGGGGAGTTAACCCTGCAATGTAATTATTGCAGTTTATAAAAAACTGCAATAATTACAGTTGCAGGGTTAAGAGTAGTGGGAGTTGGCACACAGACCACTCCAGTGGGCAGAAGTGGTCTGGGTGCCTGGAGTGTCCCTTTAAGGACTGGTTTGTGAACAATGGATATGGACTGATATAGAATAAGAATAGCCTGTGGATTATGACTCACATCTTTCACAGACTGATATTTCAAGTGTGTACACCTTAAACTGAACATAAACACCCCCTAATACACGCAGTATTTATACATCCTGGGACAAATGTTATCTCATTAACCCCTTAAGACCGGAGGGCGTACAATTACGCCCTATTTTAGGCGGCTCTAAACGCCGCCGGGCGTAATTGTACGCCCTCCGGTTTTTGTTTACTTACCCGTGGGACCGCCGGCGATCGGGGTGGGGGGGACTCCCAGGGAGCCCCCCCGCGGCAGATCCTCCTCCTCCGGTGCCCCCCGGCCATGTGAGAGTGAGGTCCTTGCGAGGACCTCACAATCACATGGCCGGGATAGCTGGCTTCTGTATTGCCAGCAGGGGGGCTGCCTGTAATTACAGGTGGTCCCCCTGCTGGCTAGAAATAAAATGAAAATAAAATTTTAAGTGTAAAAAAAAAAAAAATTATACTTAGATCATATATATATTATATTTGTGGTCAGGGAAGAAGGCTGTATTTATGTGGACCTATACCTCTAATCATTAGTCTAATATACTAAGTCGGTTGTAGTGTGCCGAAACCGACGAACGGGTCAGCCTGTAAATAAAGAGGGCCAACCAATTAATTGATTCCTTTTGTGGAGTGGTGGGTGGGGCAACAGGAAGTGACCAAGCACTGTCAGCAAGGTATGGAGGTAAGTAGTGGGTTTATATAGGCCGGTTGCAACCCCTCCCACAACTCCAGGCTCCGCCTTCCCATTTGTGGTCAGGGAAGAAGGCCGTATTTATGTGGACCTATACCTCTAATCATTAGTCTAATATACTAAGTCGGTTGTAGTGTGCCGAAACCGACGAACGGGTCAGCCTGTAAATAAAGAGGGCAAAAGAGAAGTATCAGTTCCACACTTAATACGTATACACATACATTATTACCCGAGCTTCCCTACTTTGCCAATTGTTTAAAAGCTTGTCTCAACTCTTTCTCAGGTTGAGGTATGTAACGGTAATATGAACTGGTACGTTTTGGCTGGAGGTTGATGTTGCCGCTCCGATACGAAAGGAGTGGCCTGTATATGCCGTGGGATCGTACCCGATTCTTGTACATAATAATCTCACGTATTTGACGAATTTTGATGTAGTCAGGGGTTGACTGTGTATTGTGAGGAGAGGAGCTTGTTTGGGTTGATAAGCCATACCTGCCATGTATTTGTCGAATAGTTGTACGGGGCACCAATGATTGCCGGTTGGGTAAAATTGAATGTCAAGGTGCGGACCCATTTGATTCGTTTGAATGTCTTAATGTCAATGTGTAGTGATCACCTATTATGTTTATGTGTGACACACACAGTATATTTCCCTTATTGTTGATGTTGCTTAAGGTGAGTTCGTTGGGACGCATAAAATGCCAGGTATATGGCTGTTTTGAGTGTGTTATTGGTGTGATTATCAAAGGGTTTGGTATCTAACATGTCAGACAATGCCCTGAATTTCTCTGCGTCAATTGGTAGCCATCTAGTAGGTTTTAGGTTTTCTAGGCGTTGGATGCCTTTTAGCATATTTTAATGGGGTGTGCTGATAGGAAGTTTTTTATACTGGAATATGTGTTGCTTAAATGATGCTGTATTCCAGTTAAATAGAGTTTTATGGTGTTGTGTGCCAGTTTCAAGTTGAGATGGCAAAAAGAGGTGAAAGCCACCATAGTATCTAACCTATAAGGATTCGTAATGATGTATTCTGAAACAAATTTGTTGAATAACATTAAGGCTCGGTTGTACATGCGTCTGGTGTTTGGGGAAAGTGAGGCCTGTGCTAGTGCCCTCCCGTGCTCCATGAGTAATTTTAGTCCAGGATGAGGTCTCTGAACAGCGGCGCCTTTCTTGGCTGTTCCTCTGCTGTTGGGTGTAGCTGTCTGAAAACCTGTAATTTTGAACAGGATAGTGTGTCAGCTGCTGAATTATGGTGACCTGGCACGTGTATGCAAGTCAGGAAAAAAAAAAAAATTTTTTTGTGGCTGCCAACCATGTGAGTCTCCTGACCAGGTTCATGATGGTTAGTGAAGAAGACCTGCCTTTGTTCAGAATCTCGCAAGCCGCCATGAGGTCAGAGAAGCATTTGACAGCTTTGCCTACCCATAAGTGGCCCCAGACTTTAGCTGCTGCCACTATGGGGTAGATCTCAAACAGTGCCGAAGTCTTTGTGAAAGTGGGTAATCCTAGTGCTTTGCTAGGCCAAGCGTCCCTCAACCACCTGTCTTCGAAGATGGCTGTGAAACCTGCGTAACCTGCAGCATCCGTCCATAACACAGGGGAGTTTAATGTCAACGGTGGTATGAACAAGTTTCTCCCATTCCAGTCTGACAGGAAATGGTACCACCTGGTCAGATGCGCCCTAGCCTGAATGTTCAGTGTAACCCTGCTGTTGTTGTTGGGTAAGTTGGGTAACAAACCGAGTAGACGTGAGATGAAAGCTAGTCTCATGGCGAAGTTGTTGATGATATGCCATGTGCTTAGTTGTCTGAGTAACAATGGATTGATGACCCTGACCATGACCATTCCACAGGAGCTGCTTTTAGTGGGGAAAGAATTGCCTATTTTTATGCCATGTAAGTGCCAGTGTGTAGGGTAGATGGTAGCCATTTACTGTGTTGATAATATTGGTCTTACTTAACCAAGCTTCAACCCATGCTTGAGTGATAGCTGTAAAGGTAGATCAATGGTGTGTATAGTAAGGAAACTCTTCGGAGGGTATGAGGGAGTTGAGACTTGGGGTAGCGAAGGTGTGTGGTGCCAATAAGTCTATGGTTAGTCTTTGTTTAAGGGAAGATTCCCTTGTGACAATACCAATGTGTTTGTGTTTGGCGCCATGCTGTAAATGGTGGAGATTGGAAAACCCAAGTAAAAACCCCTCTGTTATTCTTGGCTATGAGTGTGTTTACAGCCGATGGTTCTGTGTGCTGACTGTAAGTGAGGACATGCTATATTCCTTGAAGGTGTATGTATGATACCTGTATGGGAGCCCTTTGAAGCTCCGGAGCTTTAGTAAATCTACTACAAGTCTGGAAGGGTGATGAGTTAGTAGTGTTGAAAATGGATTGGTGTGTACAGATGGTGAGTACGTTATTTGTAAGTTGTATTGGGACACATGGTTTGTCATGTGCCCTGAATGATTTGAACGTATATGCAACATTCTATATGCAATGCAACGACTCATACCAATTGTCTCTGGTAGTTCAGAGGTGCTGGTACCTGGAGCCTGAGAGTGCTCGTCCATTTGTTTGGGAGAAAATCCCTTCTGTATGGGTACCTGCACAAATAAGCATCTCTACATATTCAAAATGCCAACACAACCAAGGGATGGTCTGTTCCCGATTTACCTGGAATCTCTGGGTCTGACCATCATAGATACAGCATCATACATATTTATGCCTTGTTTCTCCAATGTACCGGGATCATATGTGCAGGGTTAACGTCTTGTACCAAGAATTGATTGTACCCGGTAACCGAATTTCGTCTGTCTTAAATTTTTTGGCTCATGAGTTTGAGTGAGGCTAGCATGGCCTAGGTTTCACCTTAGTTGGTGTTGCTGGGCCTTCCCCTGTCTCCGTTTTATCCGTTAATGTATGGAGGAGTTTGAATAACGCTGCGTTCGTTGCTGTGGCAGGGTAGGGGATTTGTCGCCTCCTTAGGTTGGAGCCACATCTCCTCTGCTTGAAGGTGTATCAAGGGGAAGGGGAGTGACAGGTGACGCCCTCATTATGATACAATGCGAGACGGCTAGCTCACGAGTGGCCCGAGGGGTGTATGCCTCAGAGTGTGAGGCGGGGTGTTGGCCTCGTGGGACCACTAAATGAAGCATAAAGCAGAGAAAACAGGGGGTAATACCTATTGGGCCATAAAACCCTAATTGCCATTACATTACTACTATTCCAGGGAAGGTAAGAGATGAAAGTGTATCACTTCTAGCCGGGGTGCTAGGAAGAGGAGATTCTTTACCATCTTTTTGGGAAATACTTAAATAACAATAAAGATTGCAATTATATATTTGTACCCAGGCTCTTGTACTGGCTTGCTAGCTAAGCCGTAAGGCGAAACGATTAGGCTTGGTGTTTTTTGGTGACTGGTGAGGCCCTGCTAGTTGCCAAGTGGCTTGAGAGGCTCTATCTATGCTTGGCGCGAGGGGATTTTTTGTGGCCACCGAACGTTGTGGCAGGATGTTGGCCTCTCGGTGACAGTAACCAGAAAAATAGGAAGGGGAGTGACAGGTGAGGCCCTCTCTATGATACAATGCGAGGCGGCTAGTTCACGAGTGGCCCGAGGGATGTATGCCTCCGTGTGTGAGGCGGGTTGTTGGCCTCGCGGGACCACTAACCGAAGCATAAAGCAGAGAAAAAAGGGGGTAATACCTATTGGGCCCTAGAACCCTAATTGCCAGTACACTATTACTATTCCAGGGAAGGTAAGAGATGGATAACTACGTGAGCAGGTGTACGTACCTGGTAGTATGGTATTGAACCTGACAATCCGTATAGGTTTTTTAGTAGTAACTGTAACCTGAATGGATAAAATCGTATGGCATAAGGAAAAATGGCATAGACCAAGCTTATCTTAAAACATACAGTATATGTGAAAAGTAAAGTGCCGTGACATGTAAATATTAATCATCATAGCCATACTGGTTAAATATGTATCAATCTTAACCCATTAAGTGCCGTATGTACAAGTGAAAAGTGGTCTGTTCCCACCTTGGATGTTGTATGTCCCATTGCTAGGGGAAAGTCTGTTGTGTGAGCAGCGTGCTATGAAAAATGTATGTGAACTATATTACCCGTTACGTATATACAGATGCGTGTGCTACTTTGTAATAATATGTGTATTTATACTACTTGCTCTGTGAATTGTTGTATGCCTTATTGAATGGTAGGGGTCAGTGAACATGGTGTTGCAAAATGCAAGTGTACTGGAGAACTGCCGAGTGCCCTATAGGTGGTAGTGTAGTTGATGCTGATTGGTATGTGAAATGTTGTTTATCTGTTGACCTATAGGGGTCAGTGTTTTTGGTGTCTGTAAAACCCCATGAAAATTGTCAATGTACTTGACAGACCTGTAGGTGGCAGTGTTGATAGAACAACTGTTAGTCTTGATGTGAAAGACAAATTGTTGAGCCAGTGCTGGAGTTTAATTTATGGTTAGGTTTAAAACAATCTTATGTGTAATTGATATTGGCTAGTAATTGTATATGACATGTGAAGACAGTTTTGATGTTGACCAGTAGGGTTCAGAAATGCTGATTGTATGGTAAAATACCCTTTAACCCCCTTCAGGATACATGAATCCCTTTTATTCCAGAGTTTGGTCCTTAAGGGGTTAATCCAAATGCAAGGTTAACGTGAGATTTTGAGAGTGACCTGTAGGGGTCAGTGTGGTTTACATGAAACATTGTTCGTGAGCTATGCCCCAGCATTATAGTTGTATGACAGGGAAACAAACAGTGCCCGTTTGACAATATACAATATGTGAACATAATAGCTTAATAACAGTCATTGTAACAAACCAAAGTTCCGTTAGTGGGTTGTAAACGCACAAAACGTGTGTGTAGTACAGTAGTAAATGCATGAACTAGTTCCCGTTTGGTAGTAAATTGCACGAACCGTGAGCCTGGCATGTCAGGGAAACCAAACAAAACGAGCAGTGAGATTTGAAATGCACGCACAGAATTGCCTAGTATGTTTAGGTAATTGAAACAGAATGTGTTCCCGTTTGGGAGTATGCTAAAGCTCAAAATGAGCCAGTGACAGATATAAAAAAGTTAATTTAAACGAATGATATGCATGAACATGCAATGGTTTTAGGACAGATTTAGACAAAATGCAGCTGTAAAGTGAGGACCTGACCCGTGCAACTGATGCCTGGCGTAATGGGTAGGTCGACTTACGGTTTGTGAGCCACTTGGACACCATCCACAGCGATAGATTGAAGAAAAAGCTGGTAGGCCGGAAAAGCCTGTGGCTGGATTTCTGACACAGCTCAGCTTAGAAAACCTCATGGAGTAAGCAGGTAAAATGGCGTCTGGATGACCCGGAAGTAGAAATCATTCTGATGCTGACCTCAAGCAACAGGAAGTGACCAAGCACTGTCAGCAAGGTATGGAGGTAAGTAGTGGGTTTATATAGGCCGGTTGCAACCCCTCCCACAACTCCAGGCTCCGCCTTCCCATATATATGATCTAAGTATATATATACACATATACACATACACACACACAGTCTAGGTGTATTTTACTATTAATATATATATAATTATATATATATATATATATATTAATATCAAATTACACGTAGACTGATACTGATTAAATATATATATATATATATATAATTATTGTTATATATATATTTATATATAATATAAAAAAATTAAATATGTAAATACGTTAAAAAATAAAATTAAAAAAATAATTAAACAAAATAATTAAAAAATATATAGATGTGTGTTATTTCGTTCTAACTGTATTGTGATATTAATATATATATTTATATCAAAATACACGTAGAACGAAATAATATATATATCTACATACATAAATATATACGTATATATCACTATATATATACCGATATATAAATAAAAATATGTTTTAAAAATGATATATATATACACATATAGATTCACATACGTATATATATACATATATTAATTCTACATATATATTTATGTAATATTTTTACATAATTAGGTATCTTAATTAATTACAATTAGCGGGACCTGCCTGACAACCCATGCCGAAAGTAAAGGGAATTTAATTTGCTAGAACTATATTTAACCCTATAACTTTCCAAGACACCTTAAAACCTGTACATGGGGGGTACTATTCTACTCAGGAGACTTCGCTGAACACAAATATTAGTGTTTCAAAACAGTAAAATGTATTACAACGATGATATCGCCAGTAAAAGTGACGTTTTTTGCATTTTACATGCACAAACAGCACTTACACGGACGATATTATTGCTGTGATACTTTTTGCTTTTTTGAAACACAAATATTTGTGTTCAGCGAAGTCTCCCGAGTTCAACAGTATTCCTCATGTACAGGTTTTATGGTGTTTTCAAAAGTTACACTGTCAAATACAAGGCTTGCGTTTCATTTTTTTCACATTAAAATTTGCCAGATTGGTTACGGTGCCTTTGAGACCCTTTGGTAGCCCAAGAATGAAAATTACCCCTATGATGTCATACCATTTGCAATAGTAGACAACCCAAGGTATTGCAAACGGGGTTTGTCCAGTCTTTTTTAGTAGCCACTTAGTCACAAACACTGACCAAAAGTTATGTTTATTTTTATGTTAGCCATGTCAGTTGTGTTTGCTGTAGGAACTTGAGTAAGATTCCAATAAACTTTACCCGCAACAAATAAGGAATTGGATCAGAATAAAAGTACAGAAAATTGTGTTTTAGAACATGAGTTAGTTAGTTAGTTAGTTGTAGAGCCCTGCAGAAACAGGGACAAACAGTACTTTATTCTACATCTGTGTAGGTCTGATACAGCTCCATCTCTTGTGCAATCTGTCAAACATGCTCATTGTATATGACGACCGACATTGCTGCTCCAACAAACAGTTTTGGTAGGAAGAAAAGCAGGTAAAATCTTTACGTGTAATTTGTAATTGATCCCTAGTAGCATCTAGCCCTCGGTGTAAGATTAAGATATACTAGCCCATATTTAAATTACATTGACCATTACAAAGTTTAGTTGCAATTTTTCACATCCCAGGAATGAGCTTAACTACATTTGTTGCAGCAAGTAAAAATCTAGTCTAGAAAAAGAGGAGCATCTACAAACTACAGACTAATGGAAGAGGATTGGTTGGAAGTCTGTAAATATATGAAAATCAATATTATATATATATATAGTAAATTATTACAGTAATTAGCTATCATGTTGATCTATGCTCTGAGATACAAATTCAATTTATGAATTAAAATAGATTGTTCTTGACTATAACCTAGTTTTTATGAAAAAGGTGCTCTATTGGAAGTATATATCAAAATTAACATAAATCCTGCCAATACAGCAATTCCAAAATTTAAAACACTATTCTCCCAGGATTCCATACAACATATACAAAAAATTAGACTTCGAGATTTGGGGTTGGTCATGTGATTGGAAGAATTTCTGATTTTCTAATTGTTGTTAGGCAGAATGTCAGGTGAACCGACTCGCAAGAGGTCTGCACAATCATGTTGGCTGTATCTTCAGTCCAATCAAGAGGTAGCATCAAAATATGTTTGATGGGTAGGGGACTGCCACTAAATTATTTTATTCACAGTAAAGTTACCAATAGAACAGAAAAATAAGAATAAAGCAACAATACTTCCAGTTAGGATTTTTATAGACACTTTGACTTAAGCCCTTGAGGGAGACAGACCCGTAGATGTTACAGTGTGTTTAAGAGGGAGATTGCCTGGGTCATTGGTTATAGTGTCAGAACAGTTTTAACTTTATACTATGGCTAGCAGAGAGTTCTGCCAAAATCACTGGGGAAAATGAGTGGGAGATAAGGAGATTGGCACTTGGGTTAGCAGGCATTTTGTCATTCATCCTAGTGTGAAACAATTTTACCTATGTACAGTTGAAAAGAAAATCCTATCCTGTGTTCAGACCAGTGCGTGCTGTGCAAGTGTGCAATGTTTGGATGTGAGAGAAGCAATGTCTACCCATGTTTCTTGTACAGCTTTGATTTGTTTATTCTTTATATGATTACAAAAATTTACTATGTGAGGAAATTACTGTCAGCACGGTAAAGGTAACTTGCAACGATGGTAAACAAAATATTATAAAATCATCTTACAGATCTATTTGTATTGATGCAAACTTAGGAAAAACTGCCTAGAACGAACACTTACTATGACAACTAACAGGGCTATTTACTAAAGTGAGGACTGTCAGGAATTCAAGGCAAATTGAAAATTCAAATTTAAGGCCAAAATAGCCAAACTATAAACATCCTCCAAGTCAGCTTCTTGTTCAGATACTTTGGTCTTAACCTCTTAAGGACCACAGACGTATGAGGTACATCCGACAAAAAACGGTCCTTAAGTGGTGATAAAATGGTTGCATGAAAAGAGCATGAAAATTGTCAAAATACCCCAAGTTTAATGCCTTAGGTTGTTTTGTTTTAAAAAATATATACATGTGAAGGGTTATTCAGGGAGTCCTGACAAATATCAGTGTTACAATGTAACTTGCGTTCATTTTGAAAAAAAAAAAATGGTTTGGAAATAGCAAAGTGCTACTTGTACTTAATGCCCTATAACTTTCCAAAAAAGCTAAGAACATGTTAACATTACACATATTTCTACACTCAGGATAAAATCTAGAAATTATTTAGCAAGGGAGTTTTTTGGCGGTTGTAGATGTGTTACAGATTTTGGGGGTCAAAGTTCAAAATAGTGTTTTTTTAACATTTTTTTCATCCTATTTTATAATTGTTTTTATAGTAAGTTATATGATATGATGAAAATAATGGTATCTTTAGAAAGACCATTTAATGGCAAGAAAAATACTATGTAATGTGTACAGTAAATGAGTAAGAGGAAAATTACAGCTAAACACAAACACTGCAGAAATGTAAAAACAGCCCAGGTCCCAAACGGTAAGAAAATTGAAAAGTGGTCTGGTCACTAAGGCATTAAGTTGAAAATTCACTTTGAATTTCTGACAATTCTCACTTTAGTGAATAACCCTAATTAAAGGATCACTATAGTGTCAGGAAAACAAACCCGTTTTCCTGACACTAGAGTGCCCTAAGGGTGCCCCCACCCTCAGGGTCCCTTGGCGCTGAAGGGGTTAAAACCGGTTAAAACGGGGCTCCCGCAGCACTGGTGACCTCTCCTCCCCACGTCAAAGTCAGCTCCCAAGTGGAGCCGAATGCGCATGCGTGGCAAGTGCTGCGTGCACATTCAAATAGTCCATAGGAAAGCATTTCTCAATGCTTTCCTATGGATGCTCTGCACACTGGATGCGAAAATCGCATCCAGTGTCGCAGAAGCGCCTCTAGTGGCTGTCAGGAAGACAGCCTCTAGAGGTTGGATTAACCCTGCTATGGGTGTCTGGGTGACTATAGTGCCACTTTAACTACTATATGTACGGTACTTGATACCCTTCCAGGTGATAACATATAAGAGAATAAGTATACGTATAAAAGACCACTTCTTTTCTTCTTCTTCCTTTTTCTTTTTTCTTTCCTTTTTTTTTGTTTGGTTATTATTGTTGGTATATTTTGTGATTTTATTATTATTTTTTTTTTTAAATAAATCTCCATATCTCCATAGGCTATATCGTGATAAATTTGAGGTAATTGTATATTACGCCTTCTATAGACTTGTAATCTCTCTTTATAGGAATGACTGTATGTAGAATTCACATGATGATATGTGTTATCTGTAAGATTTGTATAAAATGCATATTTGTTTATATAATTTTATGTATAATAAGTTTATGGATATTTGCTTGAAGAGAATAAACTTAATATAAATTTAAAAAAAATTATGATTATAAAAATCATAAGGCTTAAAGGACACATAACATCACAAATGACCAAAAAGCCAGGAGTGCAAAACTACAACTGGCGAGGTGTTCATCATAGTTAAAGTGCCTGATAAGCTATCATGTGAATTATAGTTCCATTACACATGAGGATTATCACTTCTAATCTAGGAAATATAGCAAAGTAGCAAACTGGTTTTATAAGATAAACATAGAGAATCATTGAAAAAGAAATACCGCATAGTTTTGTATGCTTGTGTATAGATTGAGAAAAAAAATACATATTTTGTTTTATTATAATATTCACTTTTTATCTATTAAAATGTTTTATTCAATGATTATTCATATTCTATTATGTTACCTGAAGAGAAGATTTCATGAAAATTCCTTAATACAAAATCTGTCCATTCTCCTCGCAATTCACCTTTGTTTGATGAATAGTATGATTCATAATAATCTTTTGAATTAAATTCCTGCATGTAGGTCTCTGGTCCAGAGAATGGTGTGTCCATTGTTCCCACTGATTTATCAACAAAAGCTGATAGCTGGGTTAAAAGAAAAGAGGTTGGTGTTAAACACTCCGGAGATGACCTTACAACAAAGTTACTCGTGAAAATAAACAGGTAAGCAGATATAAATATGATGCACGGGTGGAAAAATAAAAACAAAATAATGATGGACAAATGATGGATAAATAAAAATGGAAGAGCTTTTTTAATGTTAGTTTATGTTATTAAATTAATTAGACATGGGCAGAGCGAAGTCATTAGTTTCGCCCGAGTCATTTTGTCTTTAAAAAAAAAAAAAAAAGCCATATATTTGTGGGGATTTTTTCCAGGGGGAGACAAAATATGTGCCCCCCACCCCCTTCTCCTCTCCCATCCCAAATCCTCATCACCATTGCCTACCCTTCCTGGCTTAAGAGAGTGGTGTCTTGGTGGGAGGTAAATTTTAGTTAATCATTAATAAAAAGCATTATCTGATAGGTAGCAGTAGCTAAAAGACAAGTATGTACCTGTGCAACATGGGAAATTTAGTTAACAATAGCTGGGATAGTAAACATTAGCCACAGCTATCCCAACTTACAATTTCCATACTAAGCAGCCAGTAGCTGGCTGTGTATCATGTGAGCTGCAGTCAACCATAAAAGTTAGTGCGCACTGTAGTGGCCACAAGCCCAGTCTATAACTGCAATTCCCATGAAGCTCAGCTATCAATATGGGGGCTGAATATTATTGTAACACTCAACAACAGTTAGTGTTTTTACTGCAGACTTTGCGTAGAGCCCCCGCCTGTCGCACAGCCCCATCAACAGTAAGTTTCTATTCCTTTAAAGATCAACTATCAATGCTGTTTCCTTAACATCATGGGGTTTACACTCAACAAGTTAATGCTGTGAAGTTAGTGTAGCGCTAGTTAATATTGTCGTTACACACTGCACCTTATTCCACATTACTGCTAATCAGACACTGCACATTGTATTTGGTTTTAATAGCATAATCCAACTCTTTGATTGCCAGAAGTGTGTGTACTGCTTCCTCTAGCATTGAAAGAGTTAAAAGTAAAGTTCTTCTTACCAGCGTAGCAGATCCAGCACAGACAAAGAGAACGTTAATAAAATGGAGGAATGAACAGCAGTCAGCCAAAAGAGGGTGGAAGAAGTCAGAATGACTGGGAGTGGGTCCAACACTGAAAAGAGGAGAGAGATGTCTATATAAAGTATATAAAGCATGCAATGTGATAGTGTTACTGATTGATAATTATAGTAACAAGCAGCTGGTAGAACATTTTTACATATTAACACTGAAATGTTGCAAAGAGTATAGAGTGGAGTGTCAAAAAGGGACTAATCACCTAAATTCTTAACCAAGTCACCAGAACCACAGAAGTGAAAAAGCCAGATTAAAGGGAAACTATAGTTACCAGAACAACTACAGCTTATTGTATTTGTTCTGTTGAGTATAATCATTCCCTTCGGTTTATTTGCAGTGAACCTGATTTTTTAAAGAAAAGGTAGTGTTTACATTGCAGTCTAGGGATACATCCTCTGGCCACTCCTAGTGATGGCTAATAGAGGTGCTTCCTGGGACAGTGCTGCACAGTGTGACTGACATTCAGTATCTTCACCCTCTGCATGGAGACACTGAAATGTCCTCATAGAGATGCATTGATGCTGATTGGCCAGGGCTGTGATTGGCTTGTGCTAGCTCTTCCCCTGATCTGCCTACTTGACAAGCCCAGCCAATCCAATGCTTTGCTAGGGGAAAGCATTGTGATTGGCTCAGATCACCACGTCTGATGATGTCAGACAAACAGGCAGACCAGGAGCAAAGCCAGCAGCAGCAGCCTGCAAAAAAGGTAAGATTTTGCTATGTTTATAGAGGATAAGGGGAGGTTAGGGCAGAGGGGCTAGATGGTCTTTTTAACACTACAGGGTCAGGAATACATGATTGTGTATTATACCATAATATAATATTAGTCTGGTTTTAGTTATGGTTTTAACAAAATGTGTGACAGTAGTCTACTTATGATCTCTCTCTTCTCTTCAGTATCACCATCACCTTCACCATCACCGTCACCGCCTTTCTGCATTTCACAGTTCAGGCTCTATAAGTAGTCACAGCACTTCTTGTTTTGCATGCATTTCTTCGATGTATATATGTATATTTTGTTTAGATACAGCCTTGGGGAGTACTGATAGATTTTTGATACGATAATGTAGGTTGGGCACACAGGAACAGAGATGTTGAGGGCCCTGCTCAATGAGCTTACATGCTAGAGGGAGTGGGGTAAAATGACACAAAAAGGTAAGGATAGTATCAGACTAGTGACAGTTGCAGAAGAGGAATCAGTCAGGAGCTATTAACAGTTTAATTGATACGCTTTTATGAAGAAGTGGGTTTTTAACGATTTTTTGAAGAAGTGGAGACTGGGTGAGCATCTAACGGAGGAGGGAAGCGAGTTCCATAGGAACGGTGCAGCCCTCGAGAAATCTTGAAGGCGAGCATCAGAGGTTGGAGTATGGACAGAAGATAGACGTAAGTCTTCAGCAGATCGTAAGGGCCTAGACGGGTCATACTTGTGTATAAGGGAGGATAGATAGGTGGGAGCAGCATTATGTAGCGATTTGAAAGCAAGAACCAGAATTTTAAATTGAGCTCTGTATTTTATGGGAAGCCAATGTAGGGACTGACAGAAGGGTAAGGCATGGGAGGTGCGGGCGGACAGGATGATGAGCCTCGCTGTCGCATTCATTATGGACTGTAACGGCGCAAGTTGGGAGCACGTAAGACTACTGAGAAGCGGATTACAGTAGTCAAGGCGGGAAAGGACAGTGGAATGAACCAACACCTTAGTCGCATCTGGCGTTAAGTTTATATTTAATACCTTATTTTATAATTCATACCTCCTGGCATTTTTATCTTTTTTATCATCTTTATCATCTCTACTCTCAAGAATATCCCTGGTGGGATTCATACCACCAACGCTATCAACATAGAGCAGTGAGCCTGCTCTACTCTTGTGAGTATAATTCTGATTAATTCTACACTATTTTTACTGTCTTATTGAGAGCACTATTTGTTGCTATTTGTATTCTCTTTTTGAGTACCTGGATACCCATCTGATGTGAACGCCCCTCATCATATCCTATAAGTGGGGATTGTATCACTGTATGCGATACACACTAGAGTTGGTCATAGCTCTTTTATATGTGAGTGTAAAATCACTATTATTAATATACCGTCATACTAAGTTTTGACATATTGCACTATTAGGTTGCCTTGTCTTTTTTCTATCTACATATGGAGACTAAAGACACTCAGATCTACTACATCTCCCAAGCATAAATAATTTAGCACCTACAGCTGCACCTGCCTCTTGATAAGAGACGTATTTGCATGTAAGAACTTGCATTGTTTGGATGAAACTTTTTAGTACTATTTGTTCAATTGTTTGATCATCTCCTGTTACCGCAACCTTTATGTGGCGCATTCCTTCTCTCTTTTTTTTTTTTTTGTTTTGGTCAGAACTTGTACAATTCTCCCTGTCAATAAAGGGTTAGAAAATATTTGAATCAGACAATCCAAAATAGTGTGTGAATTGGCCAATATGTGTACTGCAAATCATGTACACTTAAGCCGAGCCATTTGGTCACAGAATATGTTAGAAAAAAGCAGAGGGAAAATGAGTAGTAGTAAAAATTCTATATCTAAGAATTTTGTTTATTAAATTATAAATGCAGATTTTATTTCTGCTCCTCCTTTTTTCCCCCTCTATTGATCACTTCTCACTCAACCTGTAAATAAATTCATCATGTTTGTAGCTGTCCCCTAGTCAGCAATAATCTTTTTCATAAAGATATTCTCTTTTCTTTTTTGCACCACGGACAACATTTTTGAATCATGAATCTAAACGAGTACGTTCGTCCATTGTGCAACTTGTTTGATTTGTGATTTCACTTCATTTGGTTTTAGAGCTTGGGAATTTTTACAATCAGCCAATCAGCCCAAATTCCGACAAATTTGCAGTTAGTATCAAAATGAACCTTCAAGTCTTTATAGAAACTTGTAAGTGTGGTACAATTATATTATGTGTCAAAAATGGTTGTTACATTTATTGTTTCAGAAATGTTAATTGTCAAAATGTGCATTATCACAGAAAGCATAATTTGATGGAGCCGCAGAACTACCGCCGGTGCAGCCACTGTGGCTGCAAAGGGTCCTGCTCATTTGGGAGGCCCATCTGGTGGCCCATGCACTGGGGCTACTCATTTCGTATTTGTGAAATGGTATCCACGGCACTTTCACAGAGTGACCAAGCCCCTGTAGTATCGGCAGTTTGGGAGGAAATGATGCAGGATGCACCCTCCCAGCTATGAGAAGAGCGTGGCCAGGGAGTCAGAGCAAAGGAGAAAGTGAAACAGGCAACATCAGGGAGAGAATATAAAGGTCTTAAATTTCCTCAATCATTGCCATCCATTGCTGTAGAGAAAGCGCACTCGGTTTCCAACCATGGCAGGAATCAGGGACTTTGCAGCATTTAAAAGGTGTTTTGGAAAGCAGTGCTTTCCTGTGATGTAAAACCATTGGCAATGGTTGGAAAGGGAGATCAGAGCTTATGACCTCCAAAATAGAAGAATAGATCCATCTCCAAAATGGGACAATCATAGAACATGACCATTTTTTTGAAATCATTTATAAACATTTTTAAGATTTTTATCACGATTTTTTATAACATTACAAAGAATATTGCACATAACATTTTTTGTTACTGAATATTATGAGTACCCAATGTTTATGTCTCAAAATAAAGTGTAAGGATTTGTTTTATGGTTGTTTTTAATTCCTCTACCTTATTTTGTTTATATGTTTTGATCCCTAAACCTAATACAGATACATTGACCTCAACACCCACCTCTACAACATTAGAAAAAATTGCATTTGCAAAAAGAAACATAATTCATTGTACAAGACATGGGGTTCTATTCACGCAGTAACTGGTTTTCGGGCTAGAACACAATAATAGTTTTTAAAATCCGAGAGGTCCATCCTTGATCTGTCTTCTCGAGGGACAACGTCCATCCTCTTAATTTCATAACCAGCTTCTTTAAAAGCTGTTTCAATCTCTTCTTTTGTCATCGTCAGGCTTGAAAATCTCTTATTTCCAACGTAATAAAATGTACTGTTTAGTACACTCTGTATTATGATATAGCCCCCTGGCTTGAGCAAGTCCATAAAATTTTTCAAGGTGTGGCAGTAAGCGGCTGCGTCCACACATGGAGATTCCAAGCAGAGACAACTCACGAGGCAATCAGCTGGTTCCAGAACGATTGGTTCAAATGGGTTATTTTTTAGTGCATCACATTTTAGAACTAGTGTTACTGCTTTCCTCAGTTTCTCTTCCTTTTTCTCACAATTGTCACTGTTAAAACAAAGGCACATTAGACATGACATGGATTTATCTGAATACGCAAAAAAAATCTGCATTCCTTACCTTATTAGTATGTTTTCTTAATTTTATATAACACTATTCACCAAACACGGGACAAAACAACGGACAAAATACGGTGAAAATATCAGGTAATTTGCAGATTTACTAAAGCCAAATGCAGTCAAGATGCCATTCACAAATTATCAATAACGTTTTGCAAGTAAATTGATCATTTGAAGAACCATTTGCACACTGGCAACGCCAAGATCAAGTGGGCAAACAGTTAACAAATATTTAGCAGTGTAAGAATTAATTACTATTAGGAAAATGATGCAGGATGCACCCTCCCAGCTATGAGAAGAGCGTGGCCAGGGAGTCAGAGCAAAGGAGAAAGTGAAACAGGCAACATCAGGGAGAGAATATAAAGGTCTTAAATTTTACAATGTGAGTAAGAGAGCTCTGATTGGTGGGCTAATAAACAGTGGAGTCTCGAGAAGTTTCTGCACAGTTACTGGTTTTCAACATCTCCTAGATATGCCCCCACCTACTGCATGGCGGGTAGGGGTATATAGAGGAAAAATACCACAATTGTAGTAATATGGGGGCCTTGTTAACAATAGTTTGGATTTAATTAAAAAAAAACATTTTTATATGGGCCCGAATTTTAGCTGTTCGGCAGCATATGATCCGGCTGTAATCTGTACCAAATTTAACACCATTTGGACCAGGTTTACAAAATCCAGACTTTGCCGAACTCCATCAAATGTCCAGAGTTTGCAGTCCGAATGGCCCTGTATGTACCCGGATAGTTTTGCCCCATTTGTTATTAGGCCATTAGGACTTTAGTGATAGTAATGCTTAAAGATTAACCTTTTTGAACAGTTCTACAGAACAGATCTGGAGACATACCTGTTTCCTTCTAGCTCACACACTAACTTGACAACTGGAGTCCAGTCAAATGCCTCAGGATCCTTCTTTAGCCACTTATTTAGCTCAACACGGTTTTGCTCAAGGAAGTCAGAGGTAATGATATTCTTATACACCTCACAGGCTGAAAGGAGATCATAGATGGCTGGTCCAGCACCAAAATCGATTAAGGTATCTCCTACGATCTCACCTAATAAAAAAGACAAAACAAATATATATATATATATATATATATATATATATATGTTACTCCAACCCTTTTTTTTTCTTCGAATAAGGCCTGATTAATAAGGCCGCTGACAACGGCATTATAATACGCTGAAAGACGCGTCGGGCTCGATTTATTTTAATATGCATTTTTGCACTTGTTAGGTAGCACCCTTTTTAAAAAAAAAAACATGTATTTTGTGTTTTCTTTTGTGTTGGAGTTACCTATATATATATATATATAGGGTCTTTGGTTCAGGTAGGCACTAACTTTGTGCGGTGCTGAGGTATTAGGGACAGATGCTAATTTACTGGCTCTGGGGTATGGTGGAAATGGAATATTGGTTGCTACAATAGCCTGGAGATACCTCACTTCTGCTTTGATCCTGATTAATCTTCAATTAGTAGACATCTAGGGTTTTTTTTTTCTCTCCTCCTCTCTGTGTAGGAATTTAGACCACTTTCCTCTTTCCTTATCACCACTTATTGATTCTGCCTTATAGCAAGATATCCCTCTATAGTGGAATGACTGTCTGCACCCTACGGTGTTTCCCTATACCTAACATATATACTCTGTTCCTATTTGGGACCCTTTCACTGTGAATAGTAGCTCTATGTATTATGGACTAATAAAGGTTTTTACTATATTTCCTGGCATGTAAGCTACTTATTTAACCAAAGTTGTACCTATTCCTAGACATTCACTTCCATTTGGAGTGAACGCCTTAGATACTGTCTTCATTCCTTTTCTAATTTTAGTAATTAGGGTTACCCCTTGTTTATCGAGTACAACTAGGTGACCTCTTTTTTGACCAGGAGATATTGTTAAAGACGTATGGTTTTAGTTGGTAGAAGACACCCTGACCTGTCCCTTGGTCAATATCCTTACCAATTAAGCATTACTCTTTGTCCCCCCACTAAAAATAAAATAAAAAAATGTTTATGAAAGTTTTACTTACCTTAATCTAGCGCCAGTGAAGATCGGGATGTTAGTCGGCACATCCCTTTGTGACATCACAGGAGTCATGCAGATGTCCAATCAAAGGCTTCTCATAAAAATTGGACAATTTTACTGGTTCAATTCACAGGAAAAAGGAGAGGGAGTGGGAAGCGGGAAGCGGGAAAGAAGAAGGAGAGAGGCATTTAAAAAGGGGGGGATAGAGAGGAGGGAGGGCTTTAGTTAAGAGTGGAAGTAAGAAAGGGAAACACATGCTTCCCCTTGCAGGCTTTGCCTGCAAAGGGAGACGCAAAGCATGTCAGTTGTCAGCATGCAGTGCTGTAAAATATGCGCAGAATTGACAATGGGCAGTCAAGAACAGAGTACTGAGCCGTGTGTCAGTGGTCTAACTGGCCCTCGGCACACAAGTGCAAATAACTCTGAATGTGCAGTGTTTCAAGCAGATTCACTGTACATCCAGACACCTATTACCATGACCACTTCTAAAAGCAGAAGTAACCCGTTAACACGTTTTTGAACCATGAACATTGTTAATATGATTAGAATTCTAGCAGTTCTGATAATATTGAGAGCACTGTTTATAGAATTAGCTCAGTGAAAAAGGACCAGCTCCTTCCATTAAACAGTCAAGCTTAAAGGAGCGCTGTAGAAACATTAACAGTTTCATATCATTGAAGTGGTTATAGTGCCTGGAATCCCCTGGTGCTTGCCTACCATTCAATATTCATCAGTTTGTGATGTTTTAATGCTGAATGTGAGTACTCAGCAACCCATCCCCTCTGTGCTGCTTGTGCTAATAAGGTAGCATTATCCTAAGCATCAATGGCTTTCAGCCTATCGCAGCAGCCCATCAATACAGGTGTGGATTCTTATGGCTACACGAACATGTGTAATCTCTGCCTAAGCCATGTATCCAGTTGGAGCCAGGCTGAGGGTGACCAGGCATCGTTATTTGGTATGAAACTGCTTGAAATGGTTTAAAAATTAAAGGATCACTATAGTGTCAGGAAAACAAAGCGGTTTTCCTGATACTATAGTGCCCTGAGGGTGCCCCCACCCTCAGGGTCCCCCTCCCGTGGCGCTGAAGGGGTTAAAACCCCTTCAGCAGCTTACCTTATTCCAGCGCCAGGCTCCCTCGGCGCTGGTGACTTTTCCTCCCCCACGGAGCTGTCCGACGTCACAGGATCCGAATGCGAATGCGCGGCAAATGCACGCGCGCATTCAAGCATTTCTCTGTCATGATGGAGCATAATATGCCTCCAGCGTCGCAGATGCACCTCTTGGCTCTCAGTAGATGGCATAACTGCTATGTTTACATGTGATGGGTTAAAACCTGAGGGACATTGCACCCAGACCACTTCATTGAGCTGAAGTGGTCTGGGTGACTACAGTGTCCCTTTAATAGAGAGCGAGTGTCAGAGGGCTGTGGGCGCTACAACCAATTCAGTGAGATGAAATGGTTATACATAGTCAATATAGTGTTCATTTAAGCATAATCACAATCCTTCCAAAGATTCATTTTTGAACAATTCTACACTACAAAGGATGAAAGCATGAATATATCTTTCTACCATTACACAATAACCCCCCGAAAATGTGAGTGATTTGCTTGTAAACAAAATTAAAATACCTCCTCTGAGTTGATAATTTGTGCAAGCATCACCAATTCAGTTAAACCAATAAGCACTGTTATAGCAAAATAATCTAACTAATTATAATACAGAACATGCAGACATTATTCCCAGAGGCAGACACCGGCACAAAGCACACAGAGGAACTTGCCCCTTTTAGTTTTAATATTCATTTTGCCCCGTTCTTCTAATGGGAAATTTAATTTAGAGCTTATATCCTACACCCACTGACTGTAATTAACTTATGTTGCTGCTAGTTGCCACCCAAAGACACTCAAAGAATCCCTGTCGGTGTCCAAATTCGTGAGGGTACTAAGGAACAACTCGGGCCGCAGAAACAGAGAGGATCAGGTCAGAGTGATGTCTGACAAGCTCTTGGAATGTGGGTACAGTCATGCGGTGCTACAGCGATCATTTGTAGTGGCAAGAATGAGACATGAAACCACAGTAAGGAGAAATTAGAATCCTGTGGAGGGAGCGAGCACCCTTAAACAGCATACCAGAGTGGAGTTCCCACAAACTTTTCATAATAAATCGCATCAGTTGGCAAGAGTGGTGGTCTGTAAGAATTGGCGATTAATGATGAACATGATCCGATTCTAGCTATGGCTATGAAGAATCCATCCCTTATCAGTTATCGCAGGGGTACGAACCTTAGGAATACGTTGCTGCATATCCACCAACACAAAGATTTTTGCCCAAGGAGTCTTATAAAAATAGTGGGTATTTATAGGTCTCTTGGCTGCACTACTTTCAACTAGAAGATGCCCAATAAATGCTTTTACCACCCACACGCGGGAAAAGAATATAAGATAAGACACTGGATATCATGCAAGATGGAATTTGTGATTTATAAGATTGTGTGCCCATGTGGGCTTGCTTATATTGATAAGACTAAGGGAACGAGGGAACGATTTGCTAATCATTGGGCCTCAATTAGATCGGCCAGATCAAATCCAGATCTAGCCCCCCCATGGCGATACATTTTTTAAAGAAAGATCACCAACTGTCCACTTTGAAATTTATTGGGATTAACCATATCCCTAAACTTTAAAAGGATGGCGTTAGAGAGCGTGAACTTATTATAGGGACACTGTAGGCACCCAGACCACTTCAGACCATTGAAGTGGTCTGGGTGCCAACTCCCATCACCCTTAACCCTGCAAGTGTAATTATTGCAGTTTTTATAAACTGCAATAATTACCTTGCAGGGTTAAGTCCTCCTCTAGTGCCTGTCTACCAGACAGTCACTTAGACGACTTTTGGTCATCTAAACGACGCTGGAAGTCCTCACGCTCTGCGGGGGCGGGAGGAGGGGGGACTCCATGATTCTGCAGTGCCAGGAAAACAGGTTTGCACTCCAGGCACTAGAGAATCCCTTTAGGAGAGTGGCATATTGGATCTAAGCCTTGGACACGTGGCCCCTAGGAGGCTAAATAAGTTTAATGTATTGCACTGCTTTTTACCTTGAAAATAAGTCAGTTTTTTATTGCTCCACTTACTTGTGATACTTCTGTGTTTGTTGGCTTTTGATCTATATTTTTTTGTTGCATATCTTTCATATGTTTACAGTATGCAATTGCTTACATACATGTGTATCTATTTGTTATTATGACTTCTCACTGGTATGGTATGTATATAATTCTGCCCATGCGCAGGATTAGGCTACTTAATAAAGTTTATGTAATATGTTTACTAAATGTTTTTTTTCTTTATGTTAGATCGTGTATGTCTTGGTTTACTTAGTTTGGCATTTGCCGATATTGTAATACATTTCATTTTACATGCTAGATATTATGTTTCTACATAAGTATGTACATTGTGTCACTGTGCACATTGAGTTACACGGTATCTTTGGGCACATTTTTACTGTCTGTATGTTTCTCACACTTGAGGTGGGGCACTGCTTATCAGACAGACCCCTGCTTGCCGGCTTGTGATTCAGCTCACAGATCCTCTCGACTTAATGCCTTTTGTTTGGTGTTTATCTTACTTATTTTATTATTATTATTATTATTATTATTATTATTATTTTATGACATTATGGTTCACTCTATGTACTATGATTTGTCATTTGTTTATGACCTCTTGTGATTTTTAGGCAAGTCTGGGATCGCTATCACGTCCTGGGGTAGTTTGATATACTTCCAGATAATTATTTTGTTCTAATGGGTTGGGTCACTTGGTTGTGTTAGAATTTTGTTATATATTGGTGTTTAGTCTATATGTAGTGGCTATCCTGATGAAAGTCCACTGTTTGGACTGAAACATTGATGTAATGTAACCTCTTTGGAAACAAAAGATTACTAGAAATTCAGCGAGTGCTCTCATTCGTGTTGATATATTGGGAGTGCCTGGAGCAGCACCTTGGTGAGGAAAGCAGACAGACGTGGTGTGTGTGTGTGTGTGTATGATGTGTATAGTATCACTATCTGATGATGTTTAGCAGATTATTATTAATAAACACATAGGGGAAAGGAACAGATACATACAGAAGTGTGTATCAATGTTTTAAAACAGTTTAATGTACTTTATGCACTATATCAGATTTTACCTGTAGAGAAGATTTCATGAAGATTCTTTATAATAAAATGTGTCCACTCTCCAACCAAAGCTCCTGATTTAGGATTATAATAGGTTTCATAATAATCCTTTGGATCAAACTCGTTGATGTATCTTTCTTGCTCATTGTCATGCACCATTGTTATATGTGATCTCCTTTTAGACTTTCTGTATTCAGCTTCAGGTGATCCACGCACAGGTAAATGCTGCAGCTGCAAAAAATAAAAATAAATTTAAAAAACATAAACTTAATCATCCTTATTTGATTATATGCCAGACTGATTTTTCAAACTTTTCGGCACATTTTTATATTTCACTTATCACACAGTCAATTCCTCTATTCAAAAATTCTTACTCTTACAGCATTATTTGCTAAAGTGAGAATTCAAAGTGAATTTCAGATTTTAAAGTAGCTGACTTTTATTTTGACATTAAATTTCAAATTCAATTTGAATTCAATTTAGAGAAAAACCTGTATCATTGTCCAAAGCAGGTAAGGAATCGCCCTCTAGAGTACTCCCCAGCTTCATTCTTACCTTGTAAGGTTACGATTAAATCAATCAGTTGGAGATTCCAGCTCATTTAATACGTTCAGAATGAAACGTACGCAATATAGAATGTGAAGCGACACATGTATCAGCTTTTATAGTCAATCTATTGCCCTCTGGACACAACTCCAAGGAGATACACCTTTTTTTTCCAATGATAACAGAAACTTGTATGTAGTTGTAGCTTCTTGGAATACCTTTGCTTAATGTATTAAATAGTTGTTATGCACAGAATAGAAAAAAATATAAAAAAAATAAACAAGACAAAACATGAATGTGTAGAATAACTCAATAACTCAGAAACTGCAGATGGTATAAGATCAGCTTGTCATTTCGAAATGATGCTTTTGAATTTCCAGACACTGACTAAAGTAAGTCAATCATAACTAAGGAGTGCAGGGGCTGTAATGTTCTGCTTATCCCACCATAAAATGCTGAAAAAGTACCATAAAAAAATATAAATGTAGATGAGAAAAGTGGTGACAGAACAACAGACATAAAAGAGTGAAAGGGAACACACAACATAAGTAAACAACAGTGGAGAAAACAGGAAATTGTGAAAAATGTGCCGCCCCCCATATGTTCTGCCCACCATGTGACATCACTATAGACACCAGAACAAATACATTAAAGGACCACTCTAGGCACCCAGACCACTTCAGCTTAATGAAGTGGTCTGGGTGCCAGGTCCAGCTAGGGTTAACCCATTTTTTTATAATCATAGCAGTTTCAGAGAAACTGCTATGTTTATAAATGGGTTAATCCAGCCCTCAAATCCTCTAGTGGCTGTCTCATTGACAGCCGCTAGAGGCGCTTGCGTGATTCTCACTGTGAAAATCACAGTGAGAGCACGCAAGCATCCATAGGGTAAGCATTGTAAATGCTTTCCTATGAGACCGGCTGAATGCGCGCGCAGCTCCTGCAGCGCGTGCGCATTCAGCCGAATGGGAGGAGAGGAGGAGGATCGGAGGAGAAGAGCTCCCCGCCCAGCGCTGGAGAAAAGTAAGTTTTCACCCTTTTCCTCTCCCCAGGGAGGGGGTCCCTGAGGGTGGGGGCACCCTCCGGGCACTATAGTGCCAGGAAAACGAGTATGTTTTCCTGGCACTATAGTGGTCCTTTAAGCTGTAGTGGTTCTGGTGACTACAGTGTACCTTTAATGTAAGGTAAATTAGAGGTTAGTGCCACTAATAATATACTGGATTGCCTACTTACCACCATTTGAGGACAAGAGGATGATGATGGGCTCAGGCTGCAATCTGGCCCCACTGGTCTGGTGTAAAACACGCTCTCTGGAGCCTGTTTGTAATAGTACTCACAAAAATCAACAAACAGGAAGCAGCTCAATTTTTTGGGGCCCCTTACACAGCTCAATGTCTAAGTATCCCTACAAGGCCCGCCCATAAGTCCACCTCTTTTCCCCCTGGCTCCTCTGTGTGTCTGTAGCGGTACTTACCATCTCCAGGGGCCGGACGAGGTCCTCTTTCCCCACCGCGCGCGGTCCTGCAACTGCCATCTTAGAAAATCTGACGGGGAGATCCGGAAGGCGGGCACTGACCGTGAGACGTGGCCAAGTGACTCGTCTGGCACTGGGAGCATGCCACGTGTATCGGGCGCACTTTTAAAGGGGGGAGCCGAAAATCAAAAAGGTCTCCCATTGGACCATGTCATTCCACATTCCCCATACACTCAGGTTTTGCGGGTGTGGATATGACAGGGGCCAATCAAATTAAACAATAAGGTATTTATACTCACCTTTCCCTTAGCTCCCTGCCCTATCATGGTTTCTGTTTCAGTTCCCTTTAGTGCTTGCTTTGTGTAGTAGTGTTTTTTTCTCTTTATCCCTGCTTTGTCTTGTTCGTCGGTTTCCTGACTCCTGTGTACCAGTCCTTGGCTAGTTCTTGTTTTCGCGGTCTCTCTGTTCCCTTGATCTCTGCTTGTTCTTGACTCTGTCTTTTCCCTGTTTACGTCCAATCCGGCCATTCTAAGGGCCGCTAAGACGTATCTTGCCTCTCGTTGTCTCTCGTTGAAATCTTGTGTGTTGGGGTATACTACCGTGACATTACGATAGGGTCATGGACCCCGCAGGTTTAGGACAGCAGATGGCTACTCATGAGGCTAGATTTGCAGAACAGGATCACCGTATGGATCAGATGGCTCAGGCCAACCAGACACTTTTATCCAGAACGGCTCCGGTACCTGTACCAGCTCCTCCTGTACCCCCTGTACCAGACACATCCACTATGTCTAATGCTTCTGCACATCTAACCCCTCCATCTAGGTATGGAATGGAAGCTAAGACAGGGGATTCTTAATCAAGTGGAATTCCACTTTGAGATGTATCCACATTCATTTCCCACTGATAGATCTAAAGTGTGTTTCCTTATGCACCAACTTACAGATAAAGCACTTGAGTGGGCAAATCCTATTTGGGAGGCTAATAGACCTACCTATGGTACATGATTTCAATAGCTTCCTTACGGCTTTTCGTAGAACCTTTGACACAACTAAAAGGTTAAAGAATGCCGCCAGGGCGTTAATGAGAATTAAGCAAGGATCTAAGTCTGTCGCTGATTATGCTATTCAGTTCCGTACCCTTGCTTCACAGGTAGATTGAAACAATAATGGGCTAACTACTGCGTTCATGGAAGGTCTATCTGAAACTATATTGGATGAGCTAGGGATCTTCCTGTACCCTTAGAAGACCTTATCGACTATCTCATCGATATAGATAATAGGATTCGTGACAGGCTATTTACCAAGATTATGAATAGGCGCTTTGTTACATTTAATACACCTAGAGCTGAAACTCCTGAGAGTTCCAAAGGATCAGAGGAGGAACTCATGCAGTTAGGGGTTGCAAAACTCCTGCAAAAGGGATGCTAAGAAACTGTATAGGAGAAAAGAGGGACTTTGCCTTTATTGTGGTAGGAAGGGCCATATGCGACAAGAATGTGCTGTGCGTCGGAAACACTATCGCACCTAAGACCGTATAGGGGACAGGCCTTGGGTGTGACATCAGAGTTCCCACATTTGCCTCTTAATAGATTGCTTCTCCTGTTTCCCTGCATCTTGAGAAAAACAGCATAGCAGGGAATATATTAGCCCTGGTTGATTCCGGTGCGGCCGAGAACTTTATAGATTCCGGCTTTGTTAGAGAAAACAACATACCCACTAGAGAGAAGAAGACACCCTTGGCCGTTGAGGCCATAGATGGTAGACCATTATGCTCCCCAGTTATCACACATGAAACTGAACCGTTGCATATGTCTACAGGGTTTCAGATCATTACTTTTCGTTCCTCTCACCTCGTGTTATGGTACCCATGGTTGCGTTCTCATAATCCCACTATTACCTGGGAGTCAGGACAAATAGTATTTAGAGTGATGCTTGCCAAGAGTCTTGTATTGTTAAAATCACCCCTTTGAATTCTATTAACGTTTCTACTATTCCTCCTGTGTCTACTGTGATACCACCTCAGTACATGTCTGTTTTCTATAAAAGGGAGACTGAAAAGTTGCCACCTCACAGACCCTACGACTGTGCTATTAATCTGCTACCTGGCGCTATGCCTCCAAAAGGGAGAGTGTATCCTTTGTCTCCTCAAGAAAATCTTGTTATGGAGGAATATATCAAAGGGATTTATAAGGAGATCCTCTTCTCCGGCAGGGGCTAGTTTCTTCTTTGTATCAAAGAAGGAAGGCGATTTAAGACCTTGTATCGACTATAGGGGCCTAAATAAAATCACCATCCCCATCAAAAATGCGTACCCTATACCTTTAATCACGGAATTATTTGACAGGCTTAAACAAGCTACTGTGTTTACTAAACTGGACCTTAGGGGTGCATACAATTTCATACGTATCAAAAAGGACCATGAATGGAAGACCGCATTCAATACTAGGAGTGGTCATTACGAATACATAGTCTTTGTAACGCCCCAGCAGTGTTTCAAGAATTTATTAAAGATGTCTTACGAGAGTACATACACACATTTGTAATCGTGTACATGGACGGCATATTAATATATTCACCCGATTTGCATACTCATCACATGCATGTTAAATTACATAGTTACATAGTTACATAGCTGAAAAGAGACTTGCGTCCATCAAGTTCAGCCTTCCTCACATTTGTTTTTTGCTGTTGATCCAAAAGAAGGCAAAAAAAAACAGTTTGAAGCACAATTTGCAACAAGCTAGGAAAAAAATTCCTTCTTGACCCCAAAATGGCACTCAGATTTATCCTTGGATCAAGTAGTTATTACCCTACATTGAAAGATTATATCCTTGAATAGGTGCCCAAAATTGCACAGCATATTCAATATGTGGTCTTACCAGTGATTTAAATTAGTTTTGAAAAGCCTTCTTGTTAATGGTCTATATTGTAAACTCGAAAAATGTTTGTTTGATCAATCCGAAGTCCAATTCTTGAGTTATATAATCTCTGCTAAGAGTTTTCGTATGGATCCCAAGAAACTTTCTGCTATCATGAAATGGCCTCTACTTCAGGGTTTGAAAGCCATTCAGCGTTTTCTTGGTTTTTCAAACTATTATAGGCGCTTTATTAAAGGTTTTTCTTCCATTGTAGCGCCT